CTTGTCAGGTCAAGGAGTGCTGGTCCCTGTTCAAATGCTGCCTCTTGCCTCTGAGCAAGGCTGGCTCTGCCCATGGCTCTGTGGGCAGTGGAGGCAGCTCAGAATCCCCCCAGGCCCTTTATGTGATAAAATTCCTGGCTGCAGGCTGGCTCCTTCCTTGATCAACCATGGATGGATACCTGGCTTCATGCTGGCAGGATGCCCTGGAGACGGTTTGGCACATTTTCCATCCCTACCACATTTCCCACCTCTCACTCTCCCTTGTGTAAGAGCTACACTTCCACAGAGGTGCTGCAACCAGAGGTTCCCACCACCCGCTGTCAGACAAATGGCTTTGAAAAGGAAGGTGGCAACTTTAATAAAGGTGACACTGAAATGTTGAACAGAAGATTATGCTGCAAAATACTCTGACACGGGCTCTGCTCTGCTCCATATTGAGCCCATTTAGCAGAGTGTGTCTTGTCTAACAAAGGAGTCCCTGAGTGCCAGCAATGTCCTGTCATCCCATCTGCAGAGGGAAGAACTGAGGGAAGCACCAACCTTTGTCTCAGAGGCAGATTCTTCAGGATGGGAAATCACAAAGAAATAAATTCTGGCAAAGTTTTAAACAACTGAAGAAAAATGTCTGTAATGGAAAGTGCTGAATAACCTATTTGATAGGTATTGTATGTGCTTCTGTCCTGCACAAATGCCTTTACAGTCAGCTGAATGCTGAGTCAGGAGCACAGGAGGATGGAGATACGTGTCTCAGACTCCTCTCCCCTGAGATTTGTATTTGGAGTCAGGTGGGAAGTTTGGATCTATGTTGAGCCACCACCAGTTTGACAGCAGAAGCACTAAATCCTCTCCTGCACTCTGCAACTGTCCATGGCTCCAGTTCTTGAACCAAGGTCTGAGCATCTCATTAAGTGCCACTTAGAAAGTGCCTTAGGTTGAGGTTGGGTAAAATATACCTAAACCCTCTCTTCCACCAGCAGCTGGATTTTGCTCAGGAAATCCTCTGTCCTGTCTGGTTGTGTTGTCTCCCTCTCCCATCGAGTGCATCAATGTGTAGACAATGTCCCTGGACCGGAAAGTCCGCTGTACCTCAAGCAGCGTCTCCAGCTCTGAGCCCCCATGAACCAGTTCTTCACATTCATTTGGTGGGGTTTGCAGAACTGGTCCCACCAGCTGGATCCTAGCCATCTGCACCAGCCCTCAGTCAGGACAGCCTGCAGGGGCTCTGCTCTACCAGGTGCTTGTGTTGGGCCCTCTGAGACAACGGCAGTGGGTAGGAGTGAGTGTGATGTGCTCAGAGAGGGTGCCAAAAGTGTATCCACTGTTCAGGGAGTGCCTCGAGTGCTTGTGCCCAGAGTGCTAACAACATGCCCAGCAGATCAGCATGGCACAGGTCTCTGCATCTTCAGTGATGGGTTTGCAAGAGTAGCACAACAGAGTCCTTGTTTGGTGCTACTCCGCTTCACCCCTTCTTGATCCTTACATTCACACTCTGGTCCTTTTTCTGTTTGCCTATAAATAGCGAAAAGAGATGTGAATTCTCTAACAGACCCGGATGCTATCTAAGAAATTCAAAATCTTTCCAACAGAGACCTCTAAAAGCAAAGCTCTGGGACTCAGGGGATCACTGACCACGATCTGTGCAGCTGTGTCAGCTCCTGAGTTTGGACACTGTGGGCTACCCAGTGATATTCAGGATCATCCCAAGTCACAGCATGAGTAAGGCTGCCAATACCTGGTTACAAAAAGAAGATTTTTTCCCACCTAGACACATGTGTAAACTCTTCTGGGCAGGAAGAGTTGGAGGGTGCTGTCTTGGCTGTTTAGGTCAGTGGCATGACTTGGGGAGCATGGACTGTTCAGGGAGTGGAGGAAGGCTGTGGTTCCCAGTGCCTTGCACTCATGGGGCCTGTGCCACAGCCCCTGGGCTATGCCATGCCCGTGGCTGTAGAACACCCGCAGCAGCCTGGAGCAAACAGAACAAATACAAAACCACAAAAACCCAGCAGGGAAAGATAAGCTCTTGGTCAATAATGCGCTGGGCTTGGGCCAGCTCCCCCAGTGCTGTGCAGGACTGAGCCTCTGAGGGACAGGGACTAAAGATGTTTCACTTGTGCTTATCCTGCCATTGGTGAGGCTGGATCTGGCAGGGATGGGCTCTGCTCCAGCCAGTGTGGTTTGGGGACAGCAGGAGAAGGAAGGACCTATGTTGCTGGGATGGAAAGGGACACTGGAAACAATCAGAGCTGGTGTTCTGGAGGTGTTGGGGAGTGCAGGCTCATGGGTGCCTGCCGTGGGAAAAGGTGGGACAGGGAGGCAAGAGAAATCCCATGGTCCCTTCCCATGGGTACACACTCCAAACCAGAGGTTTTCCCTCTGGTAGCTGGGCCTGGCTGATCACTTCTGCCTGTGCATGGGGAAAATTGAAGCCACCATATCTTGCCTCTGCCCATGTTCCTCCATGTCAGCTGCCTGGAGGAGGTAAAGGACACTGAAGTCACCTTGCACACACACATAGATACAGAGATGTGTCTGGGTTTAACGTGTTTGCCACCTCCCCATGTGCATCCTGCTGGGGAACGCTGCTTGCCCTGCCTGGAGCCACGTGAGCTGGGCAACCATCAGAGATCACAGGTGAACCAGAGAGGGGGAAATGTGCCAGCAGGAACGCCCCAAGGGGAATGCAGGATCCCTGGGTCTGCAGGACCCTGGCCATGCAGTGCTTGGCCTGAGGCAGGGGGTGGTGGGGTGCACTGCAGGAGCTGGATACAGCCTCATCAGTGCATGCCAGGAGGTCTGGGCAAGTGGTGGCAGGGACCTTGCACCCACTTCCCGCTGGGTTCCCAGGGTGATGCCACCGGCTCCTTGGGTGTTGTCCCTGAGCAACACACCCAGGGTGCTGGTGGGGACAGACATTGAATGGTGACAAAGCCCTGAGCCAGGCTTTATAGGCTGGATTGAGCAGGCATTAGCAATTAAAAATCCCAGAGCAAATACAGGAGGGTGTGGTTACTGCTGCCCTGCCTTATACATTGCTGCAGTATCCAACTAATGCTCGTTACAGGCTTTTATCTGGAGGCACATCAAGAATATTCTTGAAGGCAGCAGTCCCAAGGGCACATGGGTGGAAGAGCACCCTTAGACCTCGTGGTGGAGGGTAAAGCTGAATTTACCAGGTCTGGGCATCCTGGTAAATGTAGGGTTATAAATCACTGTGACTCACACTGCAGCTTCCACACTCCAGGGAGAGTCAAGAAAACTTCCTGTCTGCCTCTGTGGTCACTGCAACAAGACAAGGAGAAAAATCAGTCAATAACAAAAATAACAACATGTAAAGAAAAAACAGTAAATAATAATAATAACAATAATCATAATATTTGCTCTTCACTGGTTGTGACAAGCTTTATAAAGAAACTGCAAGGAAATCTCTCTGGAGCACTTGGGGTGGGGATCATGTCACTTGGCAACCTTCCTGCTTACACACCAGGAGGTATATGCCTGGGGGCACCACCCTGGCTGAGATACCAACACTGAGGAGAGGTGAGTCTGGTCTCAGAGCTGATACTCACCTGCGTGTCAGTGGGGAAATCTCTTTGTTTCATGCGATTTTATAAAACCTTTGTCTCTTTGGTGCGAGGGTCTTGGTACATGGTTTCACGGTTGGCTCCTGGCATTCTCCTACTGCCATCATCCTTCTGTCAGGTACATACAGCTCCAAGCACAGTGGAGCTGCTTACTAATTACCTTGGGCTAATTGGCTCCACCAGCTTTGCCATCATGCTGATGGGAAAGGACATCCCCTTGGGATGCTGGGAAGGAGTCAGGATGCTGTCCGTGCAGTGGTGTTCTCCTGAAACACGGACATGTCCACCTCCTTTAAGCTTTGCAGTAGTGTTGCTGCTTATAATTGAAGCTAAACCTGAGCCATTTGGAGCAGCTTTTGGCTGACCTGGATGTTTCCATGTCATCACCAGCCCCACCATGCAATGCAGGGGCTGATGCTCAATGTGTGGGTCCCTCCTGCCGTAGGACCATGCTTTGGAACACAGGCAAGGTCCACACTGCCTGGTGTTTCTGTCTGTTGAGTGAATGCCAAACAAGCCAGGCATGTTCTAGACAAGCCTGAGATTAAGAAAGCATAGTCTCCAAACCAGTGTTCAAACATGGCACTTTGTACCTTGTTTCCATGCATTCAGTATTTGCCATGGGGCTGTATATGGGGCATCATGCCTGTGCCGTTATGACACAGCCTCTGCTTGGTTTTCACTGTTCCCCATTACTTTGCTGGAAATACATTCCCTGCTGGCAAAACCTTCCTAACGTGGACAGCCCAGTAGGGCACACAGGTTTGATGGGCTTTTGTCAATAAGCAGCCAGGTTAGCTCACTCGCACAGTGGTTTTACACCTCATTTACACAGAGATTTTGGTGTAAAGCAACAGACCAGACCTGCTTTATTCTGATCCACTTTCTCTATTTGTCCAGGTTCTATCACTGGGAGACAGCTCATGCTCCCTGTCCCTCTGCCACCAAAAGCTGTCATGAGAGAGCAGCAGCTCTCCAGGACCCTCAACTCACAGCATCGTTGGATGGGAAGTACCATGGAAATAAAGCCCAGATGATAACCACCTCAATTTCCACCAAAAGCCCGCTCCTCACATTCATCCACACAGGCTCATCTCATCACAACCAAGTTCCTGTCCATCATTAATCTATTCCAGAGCATTTTAAAATATAATGTTACTTCTGAAGAGTGGCTGTTACCAGCAGGAAGGTCTCAAGACCATTTCCCAACGCCAGCAAAGCATCCCTGTGCATGCTGAGCTGTAGGTACCTTTCCCCTGAGGGTCCATCTGGCTGGTCGATGTTGTAGTGATCACCAGGCCCTTCCTTTTGGTCTTTTTGGATACTCTTCACCAACTGGATGATGCTTTGGAGCTTCTCAGCATGTGATGTTGCTCCTCCAAGTGCAAGTTTCCATTTCAGCTTTGCTGGATCTGTGGGTTAGTTGAAACCAAGCTCCCTAAAGGGGACCTCAATGTTAAATGTGTACCAGAAGGACCAGAAGACAAGACTGAAGGCAAGCAGCAGGGCTCCCAAGTAAACGAAGAAGTCCCAGGAGCTTAACGGAGCAAAAATTCCCAGGAAGAGGGTGATGAGCCCGACCACATCGCACAGCACGGCCAGGAGCAGTATCATGGCACAGCGGCCCATGAGCTTGGAGGTGGTCATGGTGGAGCCGGAGGGGCCGGCAGCATCCCGCAGTCTCTCTCTGCCTGCCTCTGCTCTGCTGCAGGCTGCCAGAAGGAAGTACAAATGTCACGACACACCTTGCAGAACAATTGGGAGGGAGCACACGATACTGCTTTAACCATTTCATGGCCCTGACATCACCCTGTCCTGGAGCTGATCCCAGGGGTGCTGGGGAAGGGATCTGCCACCGGGATATCCCGAGAGGGGCCGGGTGTGAGCACATCACAGCCAGTCTGCGTGAAGCTGCAAGTCTGGTCCTGACCCAACCCGCACATGGGCTGTGCTACTTTGGCTTGAGAACTGGGGCATCTTGTGTCACTTCTGGGCAGCTTCAGTCACACCTGGATCCCAGCAAAGCCTGCAGGGCACTGGTTCTGACATCCCGGTGCCAGCCTGGAAACATCCTGCTGCTCCCTCTCTTTACAGGTAAACTGAGGCATGGAAATTTGTCCACAGTGTCAAAAATGCATCACCCTCACAACACCTCCAAAAGCAGGTCTTGCTGTGAAGCCATAAATCAGAGAACCTGTGTCACTGCCCGTCCCAAAAATGAGAACCAAGCAAATCAGAGAACCTGTGTCACTGCCCGTCCCAAAAATGAGAACCAAGCAAGGCAGTGATGAATCACCTATATGAATCTGCCTTATTTGGCAGAAGTTGCCAGAGCTCCTGGCTTGTCTCTGAGCAGCCAGTATCGCTTTGTGAGATTCTGGATGTCGCTTCCTCCTCTCTGAGTGATCCTGGGCACATCTTTCCTCTCCTGCCTCTCTGGTCTGCATGTGCTTGGCAAACAGGGGAAGTCTGAAGGAGAGGGAGCATCCTTTGGCTCTGAGAAAGCCACCCCAAGACATGAGCACTTCAAGGCCTGTGAACTAGCAGCTGCCTGCCCCGTCTCTTGGCCAGGCAGAGGGTGCCAAAGCTTGAGACAGGACCATTGGTCATGAGGTGGGCATCACGGACTGGAGCAGTGCCCAGTGGCAGGTACCTACCGGAGTTGGCCTTAGCTCCAGGGGATGCCAGGGACCGCACCAGGAGTGTTGCCCTCAGTACCCTTGTCAAACCCAAGGCACCCAGGGCCCATGCACCAGCTGAGCAGCCCTGAGCGAGGTGATGGCTGGAGGGAGTGGGGGACATCACCTACCTTATCTAGGGTTTCCTGTGCTGCTCAGGGAATCCCAGCTGCTAAAAGCCCCCATGCTCCTGCTTGCCACCCACAGCACGCATCTCACCAGGCACATGGCAGAGGATGCCCAGCACAGCCCCCATGGTCCTCTCTCCTGCTCTTATCCAACCTGCTGCTTGCAAACACTCAGCACACAAGGGCTGTGAAACCATCTATTCCAGTGCACCCTGTTCTCTCCCAATGGCAAGTACCTGCCTGTTCCAGGAGATATTTTTTTGCCCTTGTCTGAACAATGAAGGCTTTTAAATACCCAAATAAAAACCTAATCTCTTCTTTGTGCATTATCACCCTCTGGGGCCTGGGGGTGAATCTGCTCTTTGCCAACCCAGCATTAGCCCTGGATTACTTACAGGAGGGCTGGAGGGAAGTGCTGAGGCACAGCTTCTTTCAGGATCTGATCACCTGGTTAGCAGGAAACACTCTGTGAAATCTGCTTTCATGGGTGCTCAGCCAAAAAACCCACCCCTTGCTCTCAACCCCAGCCTTCAGTGAGCCCCCAGTGGTCCCCTCAGCTCAGGGGGTCACCCACAGCTCAGCAGCCAGAGCTTCCCTGGACCCTAAACCCCGGGTTCATGCTGATCTTGCCTGTACATGGGTGCTCTTCCCTTAACTAGTTGTGACACAAGGCTCCGAGTGGTGCCTGGTGCCTGGGTTGCTGTTGGGGAGCCTGTTGGTGGATGCCTTTTTCCATAGTCTTCTCTCAATGGACCGCAGCAATAGTGGAGCTGAACAGAAGGTGGAAGAAGAGTTTTGCAGCTCTTTGCGCCTCAGTTCAGCCATGGTTTTATGAATGCACCCGAGGTTTAGTGTTGACAATGATGGAGTTGTTCTGGCGAGTTTTATGAGGAGCCCAAGCACTGCCACCCTTTGAAAGGAAGGATCTTTTCTGTGTCCCCTCTTGTGTCCAGTTCCTGTCTCCTTTGGTTTTATTTAGTCTTATCTTCTGTTCACTGAATTTCAGGGAGTTCCTTCAGGTGATTTATTGTGGTGGGAAAGCCCCACAAGCTGCCTCAAGACTTTTCTGTCCTTTCTGGACTGATCTCTGAGCCTGACAGGCATTATCCACATGGGGCAGAGTGAACATTACCCCAGGAATCCCCCTCAGACTAGTGGTACTCCCCAGAAGCAAACAGTTTGAAGGAAGATGGGTCTGATGCAAGGACCTCAGGTCAAACCAGCCTGTCCAGCCCCACACTGTGAAAGGCTTGTGGCACCTTGATCTCACCAGACCGTGTCAAGAAGCCTTCAAGAAGAATAAAAAAGAGAGCAAGAAAACTCGTGGAGGTTGCTGCAAGACAGAGACAGAGCATGGCTGAGCCCATTCCGGAGGGTAGCACAGCTGTGGCAACTCCTGTCCCTCTAGAGGAGACACTGTGTGGTGGGATGGCCTCTCCCATACATCTGGTGTCCCTCCAAGAGAGCTCTGGGGCTGGGGTAGTACTTATCACTCAGACAAGTCTTCCTTCAGGCTTCCTTCCACTGCAGCCTCAGGCTTTTGAGAGCCAGATGTTGCAAGGTGAGGACCCTGTCTTGCCCTTCAGGGTGTCAGCAGCCTTGTTTGGATTTGCTCTGTAGGAGGCAGGGTTTCATCTGGATGCATTTCAGCAATGTTGAGCCCTGCCAAGCTGTGCATGACAGCAGCGATTTGCCCATGATAGCACAGAAGGAAACGTGACGCACTACATACAGTCGCTCCCTGAACCCAAAGGTTTCCAGATGTTCATTCATCTCCAACGAAAACTGCAAACAGCTGCATTTTTCTCCTTAAAATACTTAAAGAAGAGCAGAAGATTCTGAGTGCTGCCCCTGCCTTTTCCTAGCCCATTTCTGCCATAGCAGGAAAGATGATGTTAGCGGAAAACACTTGCTCCTGGAGCTGGCCCAGAACAGGTTTGCAGAAGTATGTGGCGAGAGTAAACCAGTTCTTCATTGGAAACAATGAATGTTGCTTCCCTGAGTTATGTATTAGTTGGGAGCAGCAAGAATCTGAGCAGGTGAATGGCATTGGTCTGACACGATCTCTGGCTGGTGGAAGCCAGGAGTTATTTAACTGCGTGTGGAGAGAAAGCCGAGAAGGAGCCTTCAGAAAGTTCATCCTCCAGCGGAGGCTGGTGAACTCCCTGCAGCTCAGGTTGAGGTTGTACGAAACACCTGCCTGAGGAAGAGGAGGGAATGGATGGAAAGCACAGTGTTGCTTGGCCAGGGACGGTTCGTGCCATGGTGATCTCCGGCACAGCTCCTCAGCTCGGTGCTAGCTGTGCCTGCAGTGGTGACTGGTTCAAGCTGCCGCGACCGCAGGAGCTCAGATGAGCTCAGCTTTGGCAGGGGTGGGCAGACTCCCTCCTGCAGCACAAGGGGACTGGTTTCCTCAGGCACCAGCAGCTCCATGCAGGGCCAGAGCACTTTGGGATTGGGTCTCAGCTGCAGGACCATGATGGCTGCAGGAGCGAAGCTGCACTCCAAGTGCTCTCCTCCCAAGTCTTGTGTAGGAAAACCTTCCCCGACCAAATGACAGCTCAGAAAAATTGATGTTGAACTCTCAGGACATCTCCCTGGGGAGGACTACTAAAACCAGCACTGCCCTCCCACCAAAGACACCCACTGATAGACACGGAATGATTGTACCTCTTCATACATCTGGGAAAGGAGCCCAGACTTCCTGGCTGGACAGGAATAGCACTGAATTAGGAAAGGCTCCTTTCCCCACTGCACCTTCCTTGCTAAGCCCTGGCTGGTAATGCTGATACCTGGAAAGCATCCCACTGAGGACAACGCTTCAAAGCATCCAACATGTGGAGGTTTAGCACATGCCCCCTGCTACTGAAATAAACTCCCACACTTTTCACAGTCCTTCACATCCCTGACCAAGGATCGCTCAGACCACTCAGACCATGGTGCAGAGGGGGTCCAGCACCCCCAGCCCGACTTCATGCTGTGAGCATCACCAAGCTCTGGCTGGCGCATTGGTTCTTCTGTGGGTACACAGCAGCTGAAAGCTTTTCTGCAAGATCTGCTTATGCTCCCAAGAAGAGGCCAGAAGCTGGAGATCGCAGAATCATAGGCTTTGCGTTGGAAGGGATCTTAAAGGTCATCCAGTCCCAACCCCCTGCCATGGGCATGGACACCTTCCACTAGAGCAGGTTGCAGTTCCCTGCTGGAACTGCAGGGTTTGGGGGTGTGGAGTATGGAGCGCAGGGTCTGCTCTGCACTCCACTTATCCCGATGCCTGGACCAGCCCTTAGGGTCCCATTTTGGGCTGTTGTGCCTATGGATGGTACCACGTTTTGCACAGTGCTTGGGGTAGGGATAAACCAGCAACTCTCCTTCCAGTTCCGCTTGCCTTCCAGGCCTGAACGCGGCTGGATTGGGAGTCTTTGAACTCCAGCATAGGGAAGGGGTGGCTGGAAGCTGCAGAGCCGT